GGCAATGGTAATTTTAAAAGTTTCCTTATTTATTCTATGTATTGCCAAATTTGGAAAACAGATGACAGATTCATTCCACTTAAATCCTTCACAGACATATCATTCCTTTATGTTATCCATATCTAATCCCCTCTTCACCATAACATTTGTATGTTCTAGAAGAAAATACTCCCAGATTCATCCCACACATCTCATACTTTTTCCTTTTACATTTGTGGAACTGTGCTTCACTATACCCAACAATGCTAGCATCTCCCCAAAGGCAGGAATAATTACTTCAGTTTCTTGTATATACTGCTCAGGACCCAGTTCTGTGCTAAATTATAAGGTACTTAAATGTTTAAGACTATTTATTATTTCTTTGGGGCCTTCAAACTAACTTGTAATGTATTATGAGGGTCATGTTAAAGATTATAAGCAATATATATAAAACCAGAAACCAGGTATTTTAATCCCTAGCCTAATGAGAGATTCATAAATGGGGAATTATAAAAGTGAAGAGTAAGAGTTCCAAAACCTTTGATTGTCTCATTTATCCAATGAACATTTATTAGGTGCCTATTATGTACTAGGCATTCTGATATTCAGAGAGGAAAATAAGTCAAACAGGATATCTACTAAGGATTCCAATTATCCTCCATATCATTCAAGTAAAGGACAAATGATGCAAGATGATTCATATGCTGCAACAGGCAGCTATACAGAACAATCTTCTCCTATATAAACACAAATGACAACCTACAGTAGATGCTTTCTTAATCCCTAATTTAGAGCTTAGAAAGTACCTTTATGTCTTTTTTCCCCATGAGCAACTGCTCATGAAATTAAGTGTAAGAAAAGTAAATCCATATGATTTATTTTTGAAAACTTATAAAAGCTACAAGCTTTAAAGAAAAAAATGCATTCTCATTTGAAGACCACAACTATATTATTTAGAGAAGCACTTCAGGGCACAGGAGAAATACTAGTAAAACATTGCCCTTTCAAAATCTATAACAATTCATGCAACAACAATAAAGAAACAAAGTGATCAAAATGGGTAGAAAAAAGCTAGCAATCTTAGACAGCAGTACTATCATCCTGATAGTCTCTTATCTCCAACGTGTGATTTATCATTCTTAAGCAAAATGCCCAAACAGCTCCAGCATAGCATCCACTTTTAAGGCAGGAATAAGGAGGAAGGTGTATAACATGAACCTGCCTCTTAACAGAAAAGCAAAAATTAACTCAAAAGTTCTCCCATCAGATTTTCCCTTAGGTTTCCTTGACCAGACAGTGTCACATCACCACCACTAGCTGCAAGGAAGGCTAAGAATGTGGAAGAAGTTGGACTGCACATCCCTGTCCTCTTGACATTAGATGTGGTATTGTGACTGGCATTGATCCACAAAATGTGGCATGGGATTCCTTCCAGTTAAAAACTGCAAAAAGTGAATGCTTGGTTTTCCATAAACCCTCCTCTTGGCTTGGAAAGTGGCAATGTCCCAAATAGTGTCTGCTCTGTAAATCTGGGTCCTGGTTTGAGGATGCCATGAACTATAGTCTCCAGCCATTCTGTTTTGGATGTATAGGATGGGAAAACTTTCATTGTTTTAAGCCACTAAGAATTTGAGGCTTTTATTGCAGCATAATTTAGCCTATCCTGATAAACATATAGTGTAGTCCTTCATCTGGTTGGCTCACATATATCCTTTTAACTTCAGCTTTACTGTTGCTTCCCCAGTGAGGCTTTTTCTGACAGCCAAATTTATAGCAGATTCCCATCTTATTCTCGCTCATAGAAATGTGTTCTTTTTCTTCACAGCACATACCATAATTTTTAAATTATATCTTTATTTGGCTGTTTTTAACTGGTTTAATTGTCTCACTAACTCCTCTATGAGGGCAAGACTATATCTGTTTTGTTCAGCACATAAGCAGTGGCTGGAACATAATAGATAACATTTAATTAAGTGAATAAAAGAAAGCATAAGTAAAAGCTAAAAAGTAACAAGAGGAGAAAGAGAGGAACTTGGAGAAGGAAACTCAGGCATGCTGATTATTGGGTATCACTGGGCATTCTACTTAACCTCTCTGGGTCTCAGCTACTTCAACTTCAAAATGAAGATAATTCCCTTCCAATCTTCATCTGAGAGTGTTTCTGAGGGCCAGAGGCAATAAAGTATGGTAGTGTGCTTTGCAAATTATAGAAGACTTTTACAAAATAACGCCATCATTATTAAAAAGAGAATGAGCCCAGCTGGTGTGGTTTAGTGGTTGAGCTTCGACCTATGAACCAGGAGGTCATGGTTTGATTCCTGGTCAGGACACATGCCAGGGTTGTGGGCTCAATCCTCAGTGTGGGGCATGGAGAAGGCAGTGGATCAATGATTC